CATATACGACTGAATGATAATATTTTATATATATAATTAAAAAATCATGTAAAAGATTTTTGTACAGTCAATGTAATTATCATTTATTTTAATATTTTAATATTTAGCAAATAAAAAATTAGTAAACAAATATTATTTTTGGTTACTGTTCTCAAAGTAGTCGATTTCTTGATTTTGTTATCAATTACATGTATTAAAAGACAAAACATAGTGATCATAATTACATCATTACGAGATGTAATTTGAAGGTAATATTTCAATTATTTATTTTAATATTTTAATATAATTAACATTAAATTTAAAAATAAAATTATTTATAACATTTATTTAATTTAAAATAGATTTATAAATATCTATAAAAATTTATAAGTATATGTAAATATTTATAAAATTTGCATATATTTACGCAAATATAAAATGGGTATGCGACAAATTTTTATGATACAAGAGAATAATGGGTACCATCGCTGGTTGAAAGTGTTTCCAAGGCAAGTGCATTTTCTCATTTCTGTGTCATGCCACTCTTTTTAAAGATAAAAGTCCGCTACGTGGACGTTAACACTGTACATGACATGGATCTTCTCAATCGATGTGGCCACTTTTTAATGAAATTAAATAAATAATATAATATATAAATTATTTAATACACAAATATAAATTAATTAATTAGGTTAAAAAAATTAATTAATGTTTCCTATATAATAATAAATAGTTGGATTAAAAAAAAGGTTATAATATATCTGTAAAATAAAATACATAACCTAAATCTTTAATATTAGATATAACTATATAAAAATATTATTTATATAATATATTTTTAATTATATAAAATGTTATTAATTGTGTAGTCAAAGAATATGAGTATCTGAATATTAAATATAGTTCTACAAAATATAAATTGTATAATATATTTTTAGTTTTATAAAATTTTATTAATTCAGTAGTCAAAGAATATGAATGTCTGAATACATATCATTCACGTATCCATCTGAATAGAAAACTTTTTTCTTCTTTTTTTAACACTCTTAACATTTTTTTTCCTTCTATTTCCCATTTGTTTTCCGAATACAGTTCATGATTGACAAGTTCTTAATCTCATCCACCAAACACATGTAATCAATAGTACAGTCTATTCGGTGTTAGTAAAAAATTATAGAATATTACTCGTTTTATTGATAACTATTGAAAAGTTTACTAATTATTTTTAATAAAAATATTTCTCTCAATTAATTTTTTTTTAATTTATAAGACTCAAATATGTAAAAATTACTTTAAGTATTTCAATGTTTAGGATTGAATAAGAATATAAAAAACTGAAATTTGATAATCAAAAGTTCTCTAGGTTTTTGGTAACTAGACGTATCACTTTTATGATTATCTTACACTAAGAAAACATGCTGATATCCTTTTAAATTTGACTATCAATAGTTAACAGTTTTTGATTATCTGAATATCCATATTTTTAAAGATTAATGATATTTTTTCAACGATATCTCTCTCAAACAATAATTATGATCTTATTCATATTTCATAATAGAAGTATTAACTAAACATAAAATGTATTTTATATAAATTAAAACATAAACAAAACACTTTAAGTTTAATAAATGTGCATTGTTGATATAAAAATTAGAGTAAATTACTTTACCATCATACAAGAGATAAGGATATTACATTACATTTCTCTTTTATGTTGAAATATATAATTTAGTTCATTTAACTTAATGCTGTTAACATGAAATACATTTCTCTCCTCTAAGAGATGTAAATATTATATTATCATCTTTTCATATGTTAAAATATCAAATAATTACACTTTATCTCTTAAAGATATATGTATATTATCACTCTCCTACTATATTAAAATATATAATTTAGAATATTTAACTTAGTATGGTTAAAGAATATTATATTATTATAAAAATTTAAAATACAATTTGATTTAAAATATAACGTTAAAATATTTAACTCATTTACATTAACAAGAGTTAAATTGTTAAGGTGTAATATATTTATATTTATTAATGGAGAAAAATATTTATTTTAACACAAGAAGAGAGAGGGTGATGTGATATTTACATTTATTAAGGTGAATAGAGTTTTGGTAATAACTTTTTTTTTTTGCAATGGAAGTTAACGAAACTTTAACAAAAAATTTAAGAAGTGAGTAAAGTGTCATATCTTGGAATTTATCAAAGGAGAAGATTGTAAACTTTATCGTAAGAGGAAAGGACAATGCAATATTCATATCTCTCATTGGAGAGTAGTGTAATTTACTCTAAAAATTAATCATAAATCATATTTAGTATTATTTTGGCTAAATTACACTTTTGGTCCCTTTATTTTCATCAATCCGTAATTTTGGTATCTCTATTTTAAAATAAAGATACTTATTACAAAAAAGAAACACAATATTTATACACGAAAAAGATAGAAACATAGAATAACCAACTCAAATTTCCTCTTAATTCTATTTTACAAAATCGATCAAATTCAGTTGATCTCTCAAAAATCTAAACCACTCTACCTTTATTGGTTTAGTTAGAGCATTGACAATTTGATCATGACTACTACAATACATCAACTTTAGTCTTCTTCAGCTTACTTGATCTCTTAGATAGTGAAACCCGGTCTTGATATGTTTTCTTCTTCCATGCATCACAAGGTTCTTTGACAAACTAATAACAAATTTATTGTCGATGAGCAACTTCAAACCTTCAATCTTTCTTAGCCTCAACTCTATTAGTAGTTTGTCAAGCCAAAATGCTTAGCAAGCACATCTAGCAACAACTATGTACTTAGCTTCACAAGTAGACAAGGCCACCATCAATTCTTTCTTTGAGCTCCATGATATCAGAGCTCCTTCAATGAAGAACACAAACCTTGTTGTACTATTTTTATCGTCCTTGTCACCTCCCCAGTTTACATCAGTGTAGCCAATGACTCCAACCTCCTCCTTTGATTTATTGTTATATAGAAACAAAATGCCCATCTCAACCATTTCCTTGATACATGTCAAAATCCTTTTGGCAACATAGAGAGATGAGATACCTTAGGTCTCTACATGTATCTAAATATAAGACCAACAATAAATTTGATATCAGGCCTCGTATAACAAAGATAACGTAATGACCCAACAATTTGTTTATACTTTGTTCCATTGTCATGTTCATCACTCCCTTCCTTCTCGAGAATCAATCCCAATTCTAATGAAGTGACTGTTGAATTAAAATTTAGCATGTTGAACCTCTTCAACACTTTTGCTGCATATCAATATTGATGCATCATTAGTCCTCCTGCCACTTTTGTAAATTTGAAACCCAAGAAGCAAGACAAGGCTCCCAAGTCAGTCATTTCAAATTCATGCATCAACTCCCTCTTAAGATTGACAATATCACCTTCATGATTGCTAGTAATCAAAAGGTCATTGACATACTAACAAACTATAATCAAGCTTTGCTTCTATCAAACATATATTCCAAACTCACATGTACATTTGACAAAACCAAGTTTAAGATGTATCTGTCGATTCTTTTATTCCAGGCTCTTGATGCATGTTTGAGACTGTAGATAACCTTCTTCAACTTAAACAACTTTGCCTCTTGCCCTTCAATTATAATCCTAGAGGTTGCAACAAATACATCTCTTCTTTCAAAGGTCCATTTAGAAATGTTGATTTTTACATCAAGTTGATGCGTTGTCCAACCTTTTGAACTTGCAATAGCAACAACTATTTTTATTGTCTTTATTGAAGCAATAAGAGCAAATGCCTCTTTGTATTTGATATCGAGCTTTTGAAGGAAGCCCCTTACAACCAACATCACCTTATACTTCTCAAAATCTTCCACCACTTCATTATTTCTTTTGATTAGGTAAGTCCATAACTTTCTAGAAAAATCATCAATGAAAGAAATGAAATACCTATTTCCTCCAAGGGACTTAGTTTAAATCAAACCATAGACATTTGAGTAGAATACTTCTAGCCTCTCTTTTGTTCTCATCAACACATGATTGAAAGAGTTTCTCAACTACTTACACTCCAGGCACTTTTTACAAACTTCATTAGGTTGATTAACATGGGGAAATCCTTTCACCATGCTTTTCGATTTCAATATGTGTAGGTCTCTGAAGTTAAGATGTTTAAATTGATAATGCTAAAGTCATTCCTCCTTATTGACTGCAACAACAAAACATTCATGATTGAGTATGATGATATTGACCTTGAATGTGTATTCTTCGTTAAAGTTGATTTTAATAACAATCGATGTTGATTGTCATATACCTTAAGCATCTTATCTTCTAACTTTGATAATGTCCTTTCTCAAGAAGTTGTTCGATACTAAGTAAGTTGTTTTTCAACCCAGGAACAAACAATACATCAATGATGAAAGCTAGACTATCATTCTTTCTCTTAATCAAGATCTTTCCAACCCCTTATGCCATCAAAACTCAATCATCAACAAATTTTACTTTTCTCTTTATTGATTCATCAAGATTTACGAACCTACCTCTCGTTCCTATCATATGTGTCGAACATCCTATCAAGATACTAGTAGTTGTTGTTTCCACCACCTTTTGTTTGAGCAGTGGTAACCATTAAGAGAACTTGTTTTGAATCTTCATCTTTCTCTTGTTGAGCCATTTGAGCTTCATCTTTTCTAGGATTAAGATACCAACAACTCTAGGCTTAATGACCAAGTTGGTTACAATTGTATCATTTAACGTTTCTTATGTCAATGTTGCATCATTTCTTCTGTTGATCATCAACGTTCTTTCTAGTTTCTTCAACCTCTTTTCCTTTAACTCTACACAAAACCTACCTTAATCTATCTTTATTCTTTTTCTTCTTATTTGATATGTACTTTGAGTTAGACTAAACCTGAAGGGCTTGTTCGATCTTTCTTTCTTCACCTTTTTCGATCATCCTTTGCTCATATGACTTTAACAAACCCTAAAGCTCCTTGAGACTTAATTCCTTGAGATTCTTCAACTTTTCAATTACCACTATGATATGATCAAACTTTATAGGTAGTGTAAACAACACCTTCTCTATCACCAGCAACTCAACTAGTTTCTCCCCAAGACCCTTCATCGTGTTCACAATTGTTTGAACACGAGTAATATACTTAGCCACAATCTCACTATTCTCCATCGACAAAAGCTCATACTATTGCCGTCGCATTTTAAGTTTTACCTTCTTGGTCTTGATTGCACAACCATGCACTTACTCAAGAATCCCCCTCACTTCCTTTGATGTCTCAGCTTTCGAGATCCTCTCAAAATTGGCTACATCCTCACTTTGATGCAAGATGAACAAAGTCTTACAATCTTTCTTCTCATTCTCCTCCGCAACCTTTTGCGCCTCTATCCTACTTGCTTCGACAAGCTTAAAACCCTCTAAATTCCATACACCTTGAAACCTCATAATGACTCGAATTTGTATCTTCCAATTATCACAATTCTTCATCATGAGAATTGGAAGATTCGTGAGAATGGAACCTAATATTGCTGCAATGGCAACAATAACCATTCAAGAAAACTTCAAAGATAACTTCTCCAAGAAACTTTCTTGGTTTCAGGAACCCTCTTTTGAACCTAAGTCTTGGATAAAAATTGGGATGCAAAACTCTTTTGTATTATTCCAGAAAAGAAACATAATATTTATACACAAAAGAGATAGAATAATATAATAACCAACTCAACATTTAGTTCCTCTAATTTTAAAAATATAGAATTTCGGTATTCCTATCAAATTGACATCTATTAATCATTAAGTTTTAACATTTACTCATACTTAAGTAATATGACATTTAATAACGTGGTATTAAGAAATAATTTTAAAAAAACTAAAAAAAAAGCATACAAATAAGATTTTTATTAATAAAACAAATATTAATTACTCATAAAAATAAATACAAGCAAAGATATTTTATATGTTATTTTTAATTTTTGTCTCTATGTGACATCATTCTATATCACATCATTAAATATGACATTACTTAAGTAATGACAAATCACCGATAAACATCAAAATTTAATAATTAACAAAAATAAAATTGATGGGAAGATCAAAATTTCATACTAAATGTCTATATTAAAAAAAAAAGGGGTCAAAATTGTGGATAAACAAAAATAAAGGGAAAAAAATACAATTTTACCTATTATTTTTAAGTTAAAACTAATAAATTTAACATTATAACGATTTATGATTGAATTTCAATATAATTTTTTTTTTCCTTGTTAGAGTGTGTTTGATAAAACTTTGAAAATTATATTATTTCAATAATCAATTATATAAATATCAATTATAATCAAAATAAAATTTTGTTTGGATAAGTTTGTTGAAAAGCAATTTTAAGATGTTTAATTTCATCTGGATACAATAAAAAAAATCAGTTTTTATGTAGTAAATCATCTTAAATGGAAAGAAAAAAAAATTGTTAAGAAATAATCACAAATACCAAATTTTTAACTTCTTAAAAAAATATTTTTTTTCTAAATTTAAATTATTATCCCAAACATATAACTTATTTTACAAACAGTTTATATATATATATATATATATAACAGCTGAAAGTGGAAAAATGAATCTTTCTCTAACATACCCTCAACGTATTAGTTATTTTAATAATTTTTATGTTTAGAAAAAAAATATTAAAAGCATTAAAATTTGTTTACTTCTCAAGTTAGTCGATTACTTGATTATTTTATCGATTACATAGATAAAAAAATTCAACACAATAATTGATTATGTTATACTGAAATCAATTACATTACTACTACGTACGAGATGTAAGTTGAAGGTAATTCAATATGCTGATTTGTTACTCAGAGATTATCACAACTTACTAAGCCTAAATGACAATCATAATAGAGTATGTTAGTTAAAAAATATTTTTCACTGAAAATGTACCATCCTGCTTGCTCTAATTTAGATTATGTGAATTAGGGCAGAGTGAAGTAAGTTGGTACACTTTGAATGCTCAAACTATCAGGTCGTGCTGTTACTTTGCTCTGAAAATATTGTTATTGTAGTTAGACACTAGACACTAATTTGATATCATGACTAGATCAATGATTTAAAACTTTTGTTCTTCACATTCTAGCTATATGAAGAAATTAGGGAACAGAGTATTTATTTCACATTCTAGCTATATGAAGAAATTAGGGAACAGAGTATTTATTTATTTTATCATTCTTCAAAGTAAACTCTAACACGCAAGTTTCTTCGTATTACAAAAATATATAAATTATAAAAAAAAAAATCTGTGTTCATATTATGCGTTTGACTTATTTTTCAGTTGTATGTATGAGCACGAATCCCCTGCCTTTTCATTTTAGTACCAACTTGAAATAAGGTTAAAAGCGAGAATAATTTCAGTATTATAGAGGATAATCAAGCTTACATTTTTAGCTTTATATTATTAATAACGAGTTACAAGAGAAATAGAATAATGTTAAATTAAAGAACCAGAATTTCCATCGTGTATACAAATTTTGGGAGGATTCGTTTCTTTGACATTAACCACTGTTACTACCAAAGGTATTGATTTATGAAATCCGTATCCCATTTATTTATTCAGAAGCTGCTTCATACTGATAAAATTTCAAACACACTATAGCCGTTGGAGGTAAATCTAGTGGCGAATATTTCTGCTGCAGAAAATCCACATGCTATCGGAAACGTGGAGATGACAGCCTCCAACTTTAACCGGCCACTTTGGATAATCACGTGCAGTTTTTTTCTTTTTTTTCTTAAGTGATCCAAACCCTTAAAGAGACTTTTACAATAAGGTACAAAACAATGTTAAATGTAATTTTAAAAACTTGAATCATTAGATGAGAGAACTGCCACGCAGCAATTTTTTAGAATCCTCTTCGCAGCAATTTATGAGAATTTAGATATATAACTCAGCAGCAGAATCATAGAATTTGCACATTGTTTATACACTTTCAAATGCAAAGTCAAGTAATTGACAATCAATTTCACATCTTGCCTAGATGATGTAATTCCTCTAAACAACCAAATTTCTCTGTATCTTACTTCTTTCTAAACACCAAAACAATGTGTTCGTAGGAAACAAGAGTACCCTGATGATTAAAGATGTTTTAATACAGACTAAACCCAAAATACTGGCTAATAATGATAGCAAATCCAAGGGCTATTGCAATAAGGGAAGAAGCCCAAGTGAGCTTCTCAGTTATCCTAGGTATTCTATTCTTCAGTGCCTGGCTACATGAACCTATAAATACAGTATAGCTTCCCATCGAAAACACGGTTCCAATTAAGAACATGATGAGGAATGCAGCACCAGCCAAGCGAGAAGGCAAAGCAAGGGCAGGCAACACCATCATCAATGCATCTGGTTGCAGTCCATGAACAATCCCTGTGGCGAAAGTCGCAAAACCAATCTTCTTTTTTCCTACTGCTGGATTATCAAGTGATTCATACACGCTGACATCGCATTCACCACTTTCTAAAGCAACACATGGAGCATGTACTTCTGAAGCTTCTCTAATTCCCATAGCACCAATTATTAGCAGTGTAAGACCCACCACTATGGTGCCCCAAGTGCGCAAAATTTCAATATGGAGTTGATCCTTCAGGACTAAAAATATTAAGCCAAAGATAACCTGACCAGCATCATGGCCACAGCCCCAAAGGGCTCCCACGGCAGCACTCTCCATTCGGGTGCGACCAATTGACAATGGAGCCAGAGCAGCTAGGTGGTCAGGCCCTGATAAGGTGTGCAAGCACCCAGCAAAGAAACCAGTCCAAGCACTACTTAGGAGCTCAGTGTGGATTAGCTTTCTACCAACTGCAGCAGCAGGACCACCGGTCTTGGCAGCAGTTTGAAAGGTTGCAAAAGCTGCTGGTGCAATGGCTGGTTGGACTAAGATCATAACAAGAGCAGAAAGTATCACAAGAGTCCGAACTGTTATTGCCTGAGATGAAAAACATAAAGGGTTTTTTTCTTAAGATCTATTAATACTCCAGAATTTAAAAGACCTAGGGGCTAGGACAAACCAAAAATACTGTCAGCAGTGTAGAATATCACCAAAACCAAAATAAAACAATAAACCGTAATGTGCCACTGCCACACATAACTTTCGATATATCCAAGTCTCCATTCAATTACACATGACAAAAAACAGAAGCAGGATTATAAATTCAAACAGTAAAAGAAGTGGCTAAACAAAATTTACAAGATTGTTCTTCAAACCTTATAAAATTGACTTGAAAACCGACTTGTAAGATAAAAATTGTTCTTCATTAATATATTAATACATTGTTTTGGACTTATAACTAATTGATGAATGGTTTTCAACACATTTCCTCGTGCCGAGTACCGAACATTTCGTGCATAAAATTTGTTGGACATCCGCAGGTGATTTAATAATAGTCCAACAATTGGTGACCTAATGAATCCAATCACAACCAATAATCAATAAGATAGTTTCTAATACCATGGTAGGAAAATGAAATTGGACCTAAGTCATCCTTACAAAAATAGTTTGTAAGGTGACAAATGCTGTCCAATTATTTTCACTAATTTACCAGTTTATAAGGTGATGAATGCTCTCCAATTATTTTCACTAATTTGACCTTATCACCGGAGGATATCCAACAGAAACATGGCATTTAATTTAAGGAGGATTGTTCACCCTTCGTATAAAACTATAAAGTTAGTTGAGAGGCATCAGTCAAATCGTAACAAATTTATGTACGCATATCAAATTTGAATTCTACGGTAAGGTTCCCTGACATTTTTAAAAATCAAAGAGTAGCTTAACAATTCTATAACCAAAAGGAATTTCCATGAGAAACATCAACTTGGAAATGAACAATGATACACAAATAAAATAGAAGTCCTTAACAAGAATGGTTGGTCAGAATACAATCATACCTTCGGCTTTTGAGAAGCGCCGGTTTTGAATTGATTGAGAGATTGGGATTTGTGTGTGGAAACGGATGGAAAATGATTGGGGTGCTTGGAAGAAGCGAGAAAGGGAATGGAAGACGAAAAAGGAGATGGGTTTTCATGCTTGCAACAAATTGAGGTGACCCTCTTCAAGTCAGAACGTGTTGATGGAGAAAATTTGAATCTTGCAGTTGCAGACTCAAATCGAGTGAGAAATGTGAAAGACTTGTTGAAACTTTTCAAAGAATGGGGTGGAGACGGTGATAGAAGCCTATCCATGGCTTCTATCTACAAAAACACAAATGAAGACCAAAACACAGATGGCAGATTCTTCCCTTAAAAGTTAAAACAAAACCACCAATTAGACTATTACCTAACCCTCCCATTTTTTTTTCTTTTGTCGTTTTCTTTTTCTTTTATTTTAAATTAACATTATAAACCAAAATAGTTTGGCATTGCCATCAAAAGCAATGTTTAATGGTTGAATTTTCTTCCAACCGTGGTTAATAAGAATTATTAGGGTAATAATAATGATAATTATATAATACATAATAAAATTATAAAATCATAATATTATTTTATAAAATTTACGTTTTTTAGGACATAAACTTTAATGTTTAGAATATATAAAATTTCAGATTATTATATTTAAATCTTAAATTAATATAAAAAAATTGTTAACTATTACAAGTTTATATTTAAAATAAAAATAATGATAAAAAAAAATTAGAACAAAAAAATAAAGTAATAAATACGTTAGGCTGATTTTTTTTTAGAAAACCAAAATTTATAACATTGTATTAAAAAAAATCATTGACTTGTAAATTAATTTTAGCAAACTTTTACCAATATTTCAATCTTTTAACTTTTTTTTTTTACAATGACTACAACAAGCTTCGAATCGAAGATTTTGTTATATAATTTCAATTCCTGTCATTATTTTATGATTTACTTACATCAAACATTAGACCAGTTCATCACCTTGTCCAATTCAATCTACTATATTTTATAGTCAAAGCCAATTTTCCATAATTTACTATAAAAATAGATAGATTGTTAATTTCTTCCTCTATTATGGTTAATACATGTATGTATTTCAACTTTATATTGCAAAAACTTCATCCTGACCATTGTCATGCCCTACTTAAAACATGTACGTATTTCGTAGCTCTATATATGCAAAAACTTAATCTATATAGATAATATGAAGATTTAAGTTTAATTATTATTATTATTTACTGTTAATAAAAATAAATAATAATAATAATAATAATAATAATAATAAAACAAAATAAAAACACTTGGGCCTATGGAAGTAGTTGAAAAAAGAATAGGGTCATTTTGAATTTACTTGCATTTGTAGTGTGTGGTATGTAAGATGCAAATGTGTATCTATACTCTTCTCATGTTACCATGATTTGGTTGTTCAAATTAATACTGTCCCTTGTCATTCCCTTTTGAAAGCAACAATCACTAATATCTCATCACTACCAACAATTAAGTAAGTGGTATGAAGGAAGTTGCTAAATCAACTGTATCATGACAATCGTTCACAATTTAATGCGTACAACTAATAGTATTACGCCGTTGTCATTTTTGACTGGTCTAATTAACAACAAAAACGTGTGACCTCACAATCCTTGCAATAACACAAGTTGAAACTTGCAAGTCTTACAAATGCTTGTGGTTTGTGGGTATGTTATTCATGGCGATTTTGGTAAGTATTTATTGGCTAATGCTTTTATAATAAATATTGAAAGATTTATTAAATACTACTATAACTTGCGATCGATAGCACATTCAAAAATTCCTTCAAAGTCATAATGAGGGAAATGGATCCTTTCATGTCGAATTAAAAAACAAAATCTTTCATACTAAAAGAGAGGGAAACGTAAAGTAGAAAAGCTTATGAACAAAAAATCACATATTCTTCCCACTCTGATTTTGCGACCACGTATTATCAGCATGAATGAAGACGGAACCTTACTTTACTTAAACACAATCATTTTACTTCTTTGGTTCGAATGATTAATCTCAGAAGAAAGGGTTTTAAATTTATTTTTGGCATGAATATAGTATATTAATTTGTTTTATTATTGTAGATTTATGGAGAGAGTTGGGGCAATTAAGTTTTGTGGGACTTTGGTGACATAAAGTCCACATTCAACTAATAGTGAACGGAAACAAATAGTTTGAGACAAAAGCAACTGTTTGGCACACGATGACCCACTTTTTAACGTGCTCATGCCATGCGCTTTCGTGTGTTGGGCACACGTCGTTAACCCACTCACCGATAGGTACCAACCTCCTTCACACAGAAAGGAAACTACAAAATCTCATAAAATATTTTATAAATCAAACTACAAAATCCGAATGGTGTATGGGTAGGGTTGGCAACCTATAAAATATTTATTATAAGTAAGGTAAATAATTATTTATCGGAGGAGGGTCTAGGCGATTAATCCGCAAAAATTTATGGATGTGGGTGTGTCTCTATATATGCATGTAAGCGTTGAAATTATATTGGTATAATTTTTATAATTATTATATTATTTAATAATTTTTAAATGAATGATATTTTTTTAAAAATCTCATTTTAGATTGAAACATCATTTCATTAAGGGTATTGGACCGTCTCGGTCGTAGGCCGATTGGTATCTCGGACTATAAGGACTACACCTTAAGCCTTTTCGCCTTATAGGCTCAAGGCTGGAAGACAAGTAGACCGTCTCGGCCGTAGGCCGATTGGTATCACCGACTATAAGGACTACACCTTAAGCCTTTTCGCCTTATAGGCTCAAGGATGGAAGGCAAGTGGACCGTCTAGGCCGTAGGCCGATTGGTATCGCCGACTCGGCCGTAGGCCGATTGGTATCGCTGACTCGGTCGTAGGCCGATTGGTATCGCCGACTCGACCGTAGGCCGATTGGTATCGCGGACTATAAGGGCTACTATGCATGTGAGGTCGACTATAAACTCGTGCACTGCCCAGGCCGATTCACGACTTGATCTCCCCTCATTTGATCACCCGACTGTAACCTTGGCCGACTCACCCTCTTAGAGTCAATTGACATATAACCAATTTGGGCCACGTCAACCAGATACTGATCTCACTCACCCATAAAGGCCTACTCGGTCATTATCCGATTGGACACTCGGCAATGGAGAGGTCCCACCTTCACTCACCAAGTATTTCCAGATTAGAACGACTAAAGAGATCCCTACATTCTCGGGGCCCATAAGGTCCGTGAACAAGAAACTATAAAACTTAAAAACCTAGAGCTAAGTAGGCAGATTACACTTTTGAATGCTCTGTGTGACACCCTCTACCCCAACATACATATACAGTAATTATAAAAAAATAGAATTTTTCATCAATAAAAATCAAATTTCCAACCACGTAAGGGTAAAGAGTTCACATTCATAAACTTAATCCAAATAACATGCCAGTAAAATTACAAAGAAATAAAACTGAATTTTCCAAAATAATTTAATAAGAACATTTTAAACTAATCCTATCTATGTCCCGATGTCACATGTCCTATCAGAGCAAAACCCAACATAGAAGCCTAAGCTTCATCACCAACATCCTCAGCCTCACGCTGATGATCACCTGTATATCAAACAAGAGAAACAACACAAAAGAAGGGAGTGAGAAACATCTCACTCTGGCTCACGGTGTAGGAACGCACACCGGATAGCCAAACACAAACAATACAGTTACCTC